TCCTCACCATCAAATCCATCTCTAGGAGCCTTTTCCTTCTGAATCCCCACCACCAAATCCATCCCCTGGAGCTCTTTCCTTCCCAATCCCCACCATCAAACCCATCCTTAGAAGCTGTTTCTGAATCTCCTTACCACCAAATCCATCCCCAGGACCTCTTTCCTTCTGAATCCCAACCATCAAATCCATCCCCAGGAGCTCTTTCCTTCCCCACCCTTCACCTTCAGGAGCATCGCTTTCTCATTATTATTAACACTCCTGAAAAGTGTTTGTTCTCCTCCTGAAGAGTCTGGCTGCTGGTTGAGCACTCTCATCTGTAAACTCCTTTATTGAGGCTCCAGGTAAGGTTTTGAAGGCAGATTTGTGCAGGTTTGTGCATCCCTTCCGTCCAGCTGTGCTAATGAATGTCTGAGTGTGCCAGACACTAATCAATACAGCCAGGCTTTAATATCAGCCTTGCCCTGGGAGCCAGAGCCTGTGATTTATCATCCTTGCTCATATCTGCTGCTCTCTCAAAGTGTCACTTTGGCCTTTCTGGCTGTTTTAGTTATCTTAAATCTTGTTACATCCCTGTGGTTTGGCTGTACAAGTGTGAAAGGTGTTTTTTCCCTCAGTAGAAAACCACTCATGCTGATGAAAACAGAAAAACGATGGCAAGACACTGCTCATGTTTAAATGGGGGAGGCCTCAAACCTCAACTTGTCTTCTCCTTTCAAGTGCCTTTAATTTTTAATTTCTAACCTGGGGGAATACAAGGTTGGAGAGTGAGAACAGCTGATCTGCAAGGAGGAAAACAAAACTTGAGAATTGCTTCAAAGAGCAGCTCGTGGCTCTGGTGACCGAATCCAAACCTGGAACGGAGATAAATTCAAGAATATTTTGAAATGTACTTTGATGGCTTTGACCTGTTCCTACCTCAGCTCCACAGGAACAGCTATTTTGGACATTTGGTGACATGGGGAGAGCTTGGTCCAGGTTTGATGCTGCAGGAATTCCTTAAATATGATGGGCAAGGTCTCTTCTCACAATGCTTTCCTGGTGTTACCTGGCTCCAAGGCTCAGCCTCAGCTGATGGTTTTTTTAAGAATCCTTTTTTTTTCCAGATACTTCAGACCTTGTAGGTGTTTCCTTGTGCTCTGGGAAGTTTGGGATTGGTGGCTCTGAGTACCAGAGGAGCAAAACTCCAACTGGAGCCTTATGGAGAGAGCAAGGCAGAGCAAGTCCCAACTCCCAGTTTTGGGATTAAACAGTGCTTTCCAGTCAGAAACACTGGGGAGAAAAAAAAACCAAACTTTTTCCTCTGGTTTTAAAGTCTTTGCAAGGTATTTAACTGCCACTTTGTTTTTTAAAAGGTTTGGAGGAAATTGGCTCCGTTTATTGCCAGGATATTTGGGATGTTTTCATGGCAGAGAGGGAGGAATCATTTACAGGGTTGGCTGAACCACCCCAGCCCTGAGAGCTCTTTATCTGGGAATAAATGTGAAATTCCTCTGCAGGCCAGCAGCTCTGGGTGATGGATGAAACCCTGCCAGTCCCACCTTCTCCACATTGTCATTTTTTGGAAGGAGCAGGATTGTGACAGTCTCCCTCTATAAATATCAGAGCCGAGGCTTCCCTGGCAGCGTGGGTGCTGCTGGAACTATTGTCAGTTAAATGTTGATTTCTGTGTCACACACACATCAGAGCCACACAAACGGTTCTGTGGGTGAAACTCTGCTTGCATGCAGGTGGGGAGATGCCTCTGTTGTTGCCATTATGGGTTTGGGGTTTTTTTTACATTGCTGTGAACTCGCTGCAGGTGCTGTTTATGAGCTCACACAACCTGGTGTAAACTGTGTGTTGGTCCCTGACTCTGCCATTAAACCTTCCAGGGGTAAATCCTCTGCTCATCTGTGTCTGACCATCTTGGTTTTGCTTTGCTGGTGCTTTCAGGAGCTGGAGAAGCTGGGGCTGAGGGATGACGTGGATCTGCACGTCTATGAGGTCCCTGTTGAGTACCAGACCGTGCAGAGACTCATTCCTGCCTTGTGGAAGAAGCACAGTCCCCAAGTGAGTGAGTAAAGAGAGAAGGAAAAAAACACCCAGCCAAGGGTTGGAACCTGCAGTGGGCACCATGGGAAGTCTCTTTTTTCATTTATTCCCTCAGCCTGGCAGTGCCTGGCTGGATTTTTTCCTCTTTTGTGGTGAGGAATTTGTAGGATTTTACAGCTGGGAGTGCTGCAGCTCCCAGGAGCAGTGGGTGTGAAGGGGGCACTGCAAGGCACAATTCCTCCCAAGAATATTTCTGAGATTCACATTCTCTAAACCTCAGAGAAAGGAAAAACACAATTCTTACCATTTTCTGTGTCTGTGTTTGTGCCACATCAGAATGCAATGTGGGGATTGTTCACCCACAATGATGGTGTTTGGTTCCTCGGCCTGTCAGGGCCCAGTGTGTGGCCCCACGTTTTTCCTCACATAGAAAAGCAAGGCACAATTCCTCCCAAGAATATTTCTGAGATTCACATTCTCTAAACCTCAGAGAAAGGAAAAACACAATTCTTATAATTTTCTGTGCCTGTGGTTGTGCCAAAGTAGAAAGCAATGTGGACATTGTTCACCCACAGTGAGGGTGGTTTGGTTCCTTGGCCTGTCAGGAAATAGCCCCACATTTCTGTTCACAGAGAAAGGCAAGGCACAATTCTTCCCAAGAATATTTCTAAGATTCACATTCTCTAAACCTCAGAGAAAGGAGAAACAATTCTTTTCTCATTTGCTGTGCCTGTGTTTGGCTCCTTGGCCTGTCAGGGCCTGGTGTGTAGGCCCACATTCCTCTTCACACAGAAAAGGCACAATTCCTCCCAAGAATATTTCTGGGTTCCACATTCTCTGAACCTCAGAGGATGATCAAAACCATCCCAGCACAGGTTGGACTCGATGACCTCAGTTAGAGGTGTCTCCCAGCCTCATTATTGTGTGATTTTGTGATTCTGTGATCGGGATTTTGCACAACCCAACCAACCCCGTCCCTTGTCCCCTGGCAGCTGGTGGTGCACGTGGGCGTGTCAGGCATGGCCACCACTGTCACCCTGGAGAAGTGTGGCCACAACGTGGGCTACAAGGGGCTGGACAACTGCCGCTTCTGCCCGGGCTCGCAGTGCTGCGTGGAGGGCGGCCCCGAGTGCATCGACTCCATCATCGACATGGACGCCGTCAGCAGCAGGGTCAGTGCCCTGGGCCTGGATGTCACTGTCACCATCTCCAAGGACGCTGGCAGGTACGGGGGTTGGCATCTGATCTCTGTTGTGCCCTTATCACAAGGGTTTCACTCCTTCGTGGTGTTTTCTCGTGGGCAGCTCCTCAGAGCACTGAGTCTTGGCCACAAAGCAGCCACTGACTCCAGTTCCCTCCTCAACCAGCTTTTTTTTATATATATATATATATATATATATATATATATATATGCATATTTAAAAATAAATATTCTTATATATTCTATATATTTATATATAGAATATATATATTTATATATATTTATATATATAAATGAATATATAAAATTTTACAAAAATTCCTGCCTCACATCCCCCTAAATCCCTATATATATATATATATATATAAATATATTTTTTATATAAATCCCTAAATCCCTATATAATAATTATAGAAATATAGATAAATATATATTTTTATTTATATTTTATATATAAAAATGTATATATAAAATTTTATAAAAATTCTTACCTCACAACCCCCTAAATCCCTATATATATATAAATATATATATTTTCATATAAATCCCTAAATCCCTATATATATAAATAAATATATATATATACATATTTTATATATAATAATGTATATTTAAAATTTTATAAAAATTCCTGCCTCACATCCCCCTAAATCCCTATATATATATATAGATAGATAGATAGATATAAATATATATTTTTAAATAAATCCCTAAATCCTTATATATATTAATATATATTTTTAATATATTTATATATATAACAATGTATATTTAAAACTTTATGAAAATTGCTGCCTCACATCCCCCTAAACCCCAGGATGCCACCACGATGCTGAAGGCCCTACAGCTCATTTTATTTGTTTTTTTCTTTTTTTTTTTTCACTGAATAACCCCTGGTTTTGTGTTGCAGGTACCTGTGTGACTTCACCTACTACACCTCCTTGTACCAGAGCCACGGGAGGTCAGCGTTTGTCCACGTGCCTCCTCTGGGGAAACCTTACTCTGCAGAACAGCTGGGCCGGGCCCTGCAGGCCATCATAGAGGAAATGCTGGATTTTTTGGAGCACTCTGAAGACAAAATCAATTGTCAGCATGAACACTGAGCACAGCCTGGCCAGGAGCTCTCCTAGTATTGCACTTCCAAAATTTTTCCCTGCTCTGATGAAGTATTGGGGGGAAAAAAAAATATAAATCGAGCAACAGTTCCAGACCCAGAATTGGAGACGTCAAAAAAAACAAAAAAGAGGAAAAAAAAAAAGGAAAATTCTACAAATTCTGCTTAGAAATTAACTTTTTTTTGTTGTTGATTCTGTGAGCTCCAGCCTGAGCAGCAAAGGATTCAGATTTTCTTCTTTAGGACACCTGCAGCTCCTGATTGTGAAGGGTTTGTGCTGTTCCTCACCTGGGCCAGCTCACCCAGCCCTCTGTGGCCAATCCTTGACATGAAAGGTTTGAAAGGTTTGCTTCCAGTTGGTTTTGGGTTTGTTTCCCCCCTCTCCTGACCCAGATTCAAGGTGATGGTGTGGAAGCACAGCTGGAGCTGTGGGGTTGGCTTGGGAAGCAGAGTTTGGTGGGAATGAGGAGCCTGGAATTGCTGGGCTGGAATGGGAAATGATTTTGGGCACTGATTCCTCTCTCCACACCCTCCAGACACCTCAGGCTGCTTAGCTGCAGTAGGAAGATGTGTTTGGGGTCCTTTTGGAACCCAAATCCAGCTGGATTTTTTTTTATTTTTAATTTTTGGAGCCAGATCTTACATCTTTCCATAGCTCTTTTTCCCTCTTGGCCACCTCCCTTCCTCAAGGGCCTCCTGTACCAAGCACCTCAGTTCAAATGTGTCCAAAACCAATCATTGATGGATAAAGAGCTTTGCTGAGGGCTGCTTTCCCCACGGGAGATCTTTATCCTGGTGCTCCATGCTGGTTTTCAGGTGAAGGTTCAGTAATTTATCATTTCCCCAGCTGCAAATTCCCCCCTCGTGCTCCAGGTTAGGAGAGCAAATTTTAACTGAGATCCCAGTTCCACCTGGGTTTGAGTGGGGGCATAAAAATGCAGGTGGAAATCTACAAAATTCCCCGCAAAAAATCAAATTTCGGCTCTTCAACCCAAATCCCACTGCCTGGGAAGCAGAGGGAATTATTTGAAATTCAGGAATTCTGCTCAGAGTGAGGATTCCAGGCTCTTTCCTGGTGTCCCCTCCCAATGGGAGGGCTCAGAAGTGGTTCTGGAAATCATCTCATGGTGATTTCTCCAGGAATTCCTGTGGACCTCAGCAGGTGATGCTGGTCCTGTGGGCAGATTCGCTGCCAAATTTTGAGATTGCAGCAAAAAAAAAAAAACCCAGCTGGATTTGGAGCAGGACCAGACACAAACTGGGAGCTGAGGCCTCGTGGACGGAGAGGTCTGTGATGCTTTTAGAAATAGATAGAACTATGTACAAAAACAGCATTTTAAAGGTTTTTAAACCCCGTGGTTTTGAATTTCTCTGGTGCTGACTGGCTCTGCTATTGTAACTCTCAGTGAGAGCTGCCCTGGGCTTGCCAGGAGGAGTCTGGTGACAAAACCCCTCCTTGGAACCCCTGAAATGGGACAGAAACTCTGCAGTGAGGGCACCTGGGCAGGGGGATGTGTTTGGATGGACCCAAGGAAATTCCTCCTCTGTTCTCCAGCCAGGAATTTGCCTTCAAGTGAATTATTGTCATTGCCATCCACTCCGAGGTAGCACTTGTCAGATTTCCTGATTAGTAATTTATTTTATTTAATATTTTGTTGAAATCTTCATGCTTTGACACAGTTGATTTTTTTTTTAATTTTTTTTTTTTGTGATTAGTTGAGCTCCTTATCCCCATAGCATTTATTCCTTTGTTGGTGGGAAGTTTTATTGTCCTGGGTATTTTTTAGCTGCTAAACTTGGGGAAGAGGAAATATCCCAGGGGGTTTGGTGATGGAATAATCCCCGGAAAAACAGACAAAAAACTGAATAATTCACTCTGATGCCACTGTGGGTGAAATGGAGGTGGGAAATCAGCAGATTGGTGAGGCCACAGCGAAATTCCAAGGGTGGAACCTCAGCAGGGACCCACAGAGGGGTCAGGGAGGGATCAGCATCTCCAGGTGAG